AGTACCACTTGCTAGCTAGTTGTATCGTATGTACCTGTTACTATAGAAATTACTGTACAAATACAAGAATATTGCGATGGTCTTAATCTGCAGTGGGTCTTAATGTGCAGATCACTCTAGCACGTGCACACAGCTCTACAGAACTGGAAAATTCCGGTGGTGATGCAAGGAGTAGCACAGTGTTATAGTAATTAATATTGACGGGTTGTTGGAGGCCTTCTCCCCGTTTTGACTGCATCCTCTGGCATCCTGGGAGCTCTGCTGCTAGCATGCAGGGATGGCGTATAGTGGTCTGGCTGGCTCGCTACGCCTTACTCGTAGATCAGGTGTACCGGTACCACAGGAAGACACATCTGGGCTTAAGGTAGTTGCGGTAAAAGATAATTTTGATTCAAATATACAGAGTAAAGTATATCTTTAACCCCATAATTACCACATCTACCCAACTAAAACTGTCTCCCTGGCACGGCCGGTACCGTACTACTGCAAGGTCCGGAAACGGTACTAATAATTTTAACGCTCACGACTCATTTTAATAATTATTTCGAAATTGTCAATGACGCGGCAGTCGTGGAAAGACGTCAGTGCGCGCCAGGTGAGCGTTCACTGTTTACAATACTGGATTCCCGACACGACTGGATTCTGCTGACTCAGTTTCACCGTTTCGATTCACTCGGGACTTAGTTTCACGCTTTTGGGGTCAGTTTCACCCTTTTTCGAAAAGGGTGAAACTAACAACCTTTAGTTTCACGCTTTTTGGGTTAGTTTCACACTTTTTGGTTAGTTTCACGCTTTTGGGTTAGTTTCACGCTTTTGGTGTCGTGCGCGTGAAACTAACAGAAAGCGTGAAACTAACAAAAAGCGTGAAACAACAAGTAGCTAGCTACTGTAGCTAACAACCACACCCACAGACAACCGCAGCTTCCTCTTACTAGCTAGCTAGTGCATCAAACATGCCGGAAGGGTTACCTCGGATCGTGCTCTCCAGCCAGGAAATACTTCACTGTGGCTTGGAGCTCCTGGGTTTTGATGACAAGAGACAGTCGAAAGTCAACAAGAAGAAGAACATGGCTCGATTCAGGGCTCACTACGCCTCTCATCCTCGTGTCTATGCAGTGCTTATTCAATTGCTACAAACAACTGAGAACCCGGATGCTAATATCAATTGCTACATTGACCAAGTCGGGACCGAGCAATTCAAAAACTATTATTTCATGGCGATCCACTTGATGGCCTGTTACCCCACAGAGGAAGAAGCCGAGGCAGTTTGGTCGAAGCTTGTCGCACCTTACAGCAAAACCTGGTCCAATTGGTCATGGAGAATTGTAGGCTGCATCTCTGAATTGATCTCTGATGTTGTTAATTGGCCAGAGTCCTGGTCCAACCCTGACAACCCAGACAGTACCGAGACAATCTTCATTCTCACGGTTGATGGTGTACACTGTCCCATCGAGGAGCCACCACACGACAATTTCTCTGAGAACAAGAAATTCTTCTCACATAAATTCCACGGTGCTGGTCTGGACTATGAGATTGGAATGTCTATTTTCACGCAGCGCTGTGTGTGGGTAGCTGGCCCCTATCCGGCTGGCAAGAACGATATCAGCATTTTTCGCCACAAGCTCAAGGGCCAAATGTTGGCCGCACGAGAAAGCAGCAAAGACAATGTGCAATTTCGGGGACTTGCGGACAAGGGGTACATGGGCGAGAGGGATCTGCTTTCTGTACCCAGCTCTCAGGTTAGTGCGTGTATGTGACTGGATAATTGTGTTTCATAAGTTGTGCTGGCTGGCTAATGTCTACTTTTGGCTTTGTGCACGACATTCTAAAGGATACGGAGCAAGTCCGTGTTTTCAAGGGCAGGGCCCTCTCCAGGCATGAGAACTTCAACGGAAGGCTGAAGAATTTTGATTGCCTGGATGAGCGGTTCCGCCACTCCATCAAGAAGCACAAGATGTGCTTCTTGGCTGCAGTTGTAATTGTACAGCTGCAGCTGGAGAATGGATCCCCTCTGTTCACAGTCTGAGGCGAACAGAGGGGCCTGCTGGCAGGCTGCCGTCTCTGGAAGCTATGCTTAGTTTTAAAGCTTTGCTTCCAGCTCTAGCTTTCCGTTGATAAATTAAAGTAACTGTCTAGCTAGCCAGCGTTTATCTTCTGTTGTTTTGCTTGTGTCCGGCAGTCTAGCTACTAGCTAGTAGCTACAGTACTTGCGAGTAATTGTCAACAATCAACCAGTCCGGCGCGGTAGACTGCGAGACCGTCCAGGCACACGGTGTGCCTCACCAGGGAACCCGGATGTACGACTACGGTAAAACTGGCCCTAACCCTAACCCACTGCCGAAAGTTGTTGTATCTGTTGAACGGAGAACCGACTACTCAGCTACTAGCTACTACTAGCACTCGTACCACCTAGCTACCGTAGCTACTAGCAAGTGTTGGATTTTGTTTGTCATAGATCATTATTAGAAAGTACTGTAAACCTGCATAGTTTTCAGTAAAAGTTCAAGCACTTGAAAACAGAGTTGATTTTTTCTGGTTGAGTTGTTGAATAAGGGGAAAGTGGATTGTCGATGTGGTGTCTTCATATAACCAGCATAAAGCCAAATCACTGCAATATCAGCCCGAAGGAGAAATGGCAGCTGCAGCTGCTGCTGCAGTTTCATGAGCCTCCAATGTATCAACATTGATTTCTCCATTTGAAATGCCGAAGTACTCAATGATGGATTCAATCATCCCTAACACCAAGACTTTGTCGGCAGTACCAAACTTCTTCCGAACAAGTTTCTTCACTTTGTCTACCTGGTTGTCGTTGGGAGGCTCTACAAGAATCTGAGCAGCACTAACCAAGACTGTGTGGAAGTCTTTCCAATCTTCCTGTGGGAGCCAAGACATGATGCTCTCCCTGACATAGACTGGACTAACGAGCCTTGCATCGATCTTTCTCTTGTTGTAGTGATGCTCTGCAACATCGATTAAATCGAGAGCAACCGCCATCCGTGTGCCATAGTAATAGTCAACCACCGGTCCAGCATAGATGCCAAAGACATCTTGGATGACAGTGTTTGCCACAGAGACGCTAATTTCTGGTTTTGCCAGTTCCATCAAGCTTGCCGCATCCCATGGAACGAGGCCGTCATGGTTGTCCTCAAGGCTCTTGCACATCTTGACCATCCAAGTTGTCTTCAGAGTTGGGTCATGAGGTTGAACAATCTTGCGGAGCTTGGCCCCTGAGCTCTTTGCCATTGCGGGATGCTGAGCACCTTCGCAGTCTTGAGTGCAAGCAAGATGCGCACCAAGGCTTCATCACCCTCCCGCATTTGATCAAGAATAGTGGCTGTCAGCAGGATAATAAAAGGTTTGTCATAGCCATCTCCACCTCCCATCAAAGTGTCAATGGAACAATCCAAGGTATAGCGTGGAGCTTTGATGTTCTGGGCGTTGCACCAGACAAGCAGGGTTTTCAATGCTGCCAACTTGTTCAAAGAGGCTCCTACCCAATCAGAAGAAGGCGCAGCATAACCAATGTCTTGGTCATGCTCGTCCTGTACAAGCATAGGAGGGACCATTTTAGTAGCTTCCCGAGCCACAGTTGGCTTTTTGGCTGGCTTGACAAAACTTGGGGTCAGTGATTTTCAGCTTGGGGCACCACACCGTTTCTTTTGGCTGGTTTTGTCTTTGACTGGAGTTGAGGTCTCGTCCTCTTCATCATCAAATTCGTCCTCATCATCCAGGCCAGTAGTCTTGGGCCCTGCTGTTGGCAAGGTCTTGCGTTTGCGGCTGCTGCGGCGGCGGCGACCAAAAGGGGAAGGGGCAGTCTTTGTATTGTCATCATCCTCATCATCATTATTGCTATGTGAATCATCACCCTGGCCCACTGCCGTCTCAGGATTGACTGTTGCATCCACCTGAGTGCCCATCACAAAATTGCCTTCCTTAGACCGAGAAGCCATTTCTTGCTGTCGTTCTTCTGCCTTCTTTTCGACCAGAAAACTGGCAAGTAGCTTGCGCATAGACTCTTGGATATCATTCTTTGTCACACAATCGGAAAATGTTTCTTCAATCTTGGCCTGGACCCAAGTGTTTGTCTTGTTGCGAAAAATATGTTGCCAATTCGAGTAGAGCTGTCTGCCTTGCCTCCAAAGACGAAGATAGTGCCTCCAAGACTTGAGTCCTTTGATTCTACCCTTCAGCTTTTTTGCCTCTTCAGGCCGTTCTTGGTCAATGACTTGATAGTGCTTGTGCATGATACGAACCTGGTCAGTTGGCACTTTGTCTGCTGTTGGCAGGTCTTGTCTCCAATCCCAAGCAGCAAGGTCATCGGCATCCAAGCAGAAGGCGACTTGAAAAAAATTCAAACGGAGCAAATCAGCAACCAATTGAATTGGGCTGATGATTCGATCATAGTGAGTCTCTGGTAAGGCATACATGTTGAGCACTCGCTCAAGGTTGATTCTAGTTTCAACATCCATCAGATCCAGCTTGATGACAACATTGTCTCCATGTTCTTCGACATAAGGAACATTGTCGGACAACAGAGGAGGAGGCACTGACGTTTCCATAACGATCATCTCGTCAGCATCTTCGTGGGTTGTAGTAGCTTGATCCAGCTTTGCAGTTTCGTCATGGTCGGTCTCAACAAGAGGAGGAGGCTTCGGCGTTTCACCAACAACGGTCTTGTCAGAATTGTTGGTCTCACTAGGAGGCATCGTGTTGGTAGCAGCTTAAGAATTTCGCAATGCCAACGCAAGTGATTGGTAATGGAATAATGAGCCGAAGCCTGGTCGTAGTGGCTGTTCACGGCGTCAAGCCGCTGGCTGGAGTTGAATGCAGTTCGTGATACTCAAAGCGAGCCGTAGTGGCTGTTCACGGTGTCAAGCGGCTGGCTGGAGTTGAATGCAGTTCGTGATACTCAAAGTGAGCCTCAACGTACTTTTAGTGTGCTTCCCTACTCTAGCTAGCTACTCCAGTATGGTAGCGTGTGTTTCAAAAACAAATACTAAGTAGACGTTCGATACCCACAAGAGTGGTACAGTTCCCGATATGTGAGCGATTTCTCTTCGATATCAGCTCGCCAGGCACATCGTGGAACGGAGACGGCCAGACTGTCGAAGCACATGGAGTGCCCACGAAGTCTGGCCGTCGCTCCTAAAGCAGAGTTAGTTAGATTGCAATTATAAAAAACTCTCATGATTATTTTAAGAAACTCGCTAAATCGATTATCCCACCTGTCTAACACCATGCATGTACAAGCATCCAACTAACATCATGAGGCTCGCCATGGCTGTCAACCTGAATTGCCCATCATGTTTTCTTCCAAGCTGTCATCCAAGCCCAGGGCAGCTTGCTGGTCCTGTCGAGCTGCCTGATCCTCCTCTTGCCGCCGGATTTGAGCCTGTTCTGCTTCTTGGTTTAGAAGCCTGTCTGCCTCTTCAATCTCATACTCTTCTTCCATGCGACCGAATGAATACAGAGCATTTTGAATCAATTCATTTGCAGCCACCACTTCCTCCGTATAGCTACTTTCCTTCCAATAGTCAAATAACAATGTCTTCCACTCCTCTTTCTGATATTGCTGCTGGAGCTGCTGCTGGAGGTGCACCGGAAGTCCCTTGAACATGTCGTCCCAAGATCAACCCGGACGAACGATGCAAGACCGGCCTTTTTGGTTGGTGCACCTGCTTCATCACGGCTTCTCTTGTTGCGGGGAGAACCACCGCCCATGTCTTCATCATCCAATATTCCTTGATCAAACTTTGATGTTTCGGTTCGGATGTCATTAGCCAGTTGATCAAGCTTTGCTGTAAAGGGTCAGTCTCTTGATTGGGTTGCGTTGGTTGCAACATCTGTGCACGGTGTGTAAAATCTCCACTGTTGACAGGAGATGGCATCGCAAATTGATGCTGCATTCCGGCAGCGGCTGCTCCTAGACTGGATGAGCCTGTCAGCGTTGGGCTTGACAGGGTGGCCACAGGCTGGAAAGGAGGAGCTGATTTTGCCTGAGAAGAGGAAACCACCTGAGTTGGTGGGCGGTTTGGTTGGATTGGGAAACTATTACCGCCTCCTGAGGGATATGATATGTGCATAGAGTCGACTGAAGATATCAAAAACAAAGACAAAGAAGAACTCTAATACTGTTAGTTGTTCGCTTCAACTTATCACCAAACAACCGAAACAAAAGAAATCACTCAACTCGGTATATCGTCAAGTCCCTCCAACAAAGCATCCTCAGCTTCAGTTGTTTGTCGGACCTTTGGCAGCACAGTGGCTCCAGATAAGTCAGGCTGATGCTGGCATCCGCAATCCTCCAGTAGATTTTGTGAACACTGTAGGCGCGATTCTTCACCTTAGCAAGTTTGGTGTAGACCGTCATTCCTTCCAGCTTCAATTCCCCAGGACGTTTTCCTTCGTGAATAAGCAGTTCCTTAGAAGATAATTTCACGCCAGCTGAGAATGCCAGCTTGTAGTATTTCTTGGGAACTTTGTATGGGTTCTCCTCGGACTGGTGGACTTCTTCCTCCTCATCATGAACCAATCCATGGCGCTGTTCAAAGTTCTTCCTAGCGTTGTCAAGGCTGTCCATGATGGGAAGAGTACCTTCGCGCTTCCTGAGCAAGGTACGGAGATCTTCGTCATCTCCACCACGTTCACTATACTCCACCAGAGGAGCCTCAACAATCAACACATTCTTCTCACCCGGCATTATGAAAGCTTTAAAAGGAAAGGCAGCCAAGGGGGGGTCTAGATCTGGCACTCCTAGAGCATCACGAGGGTCTACTTTCATGGTAACTAGGTAGCCAAAATGCAGCTTTGCTGCTCCCTTCTTAACATCGACCAAACCTTTGATTGTGGTAACCTTGAATGGAGAGGACGTTCCTTCTAGGAGGTGTGGATCCACAGGGATGTCCTCTGTAGCAATGATGTAAAAAAGACAGCAAGCAAGTGAGTGCGTGGTAAGACAATTCAGAATCCAAGCAAAGCACCACGGCAACTACCCAGCACTCACCAATGGGCAGGTCGGGATCTAAGGTTGGCATCTTGCTTGGTTGCTTTTTGACTGGTCCCTGATCCTCTTCGTCACTGCTACTTGGGATGATCGGTTTTGGGTCTCTGTAGAGGCCTCCTTTTGGTACACTTCTGATGATGAATGGTGCAGGCGCAGGTGTAGGCGGGATGTTTTGCTGCTCTCTCCTTGCTCTCGTGCCAGTATGAACCGGAATGGGGACTGTAGGGGCTCCTGGAACTTGGAAACTTGAAGCTGGTGTCTCCTTTTCACTGCTGGGCACGTCCACAAATGATGGGGGGGGCTTCTCAGCCTTCTTTGGTGCAGTCTTCTTTGGTGCTGCCTTTGCCTTCCTGGTTCTCTTGGTGACTTTCTTCTCAATCGCCTCGACCTCCTCTGGGTTTTTGAACGTCCCACGACCTTTGGCTGATAGAATCCCGAATTCTTCGAGAAGTTCCTTGTATTCCTGATCAGGCAGGCGACCCCAGAATCGTATCTTGTTCACAGCCTTGACTCGAGCTGGAGATGTACGATCAACTCCGTAGAGATGCTGCTTTTCCTCGTCTTCATCAATTAGCTGCCCCACGAGATCTTTGATTCCGTGCGTCTGTGATAAGACAAACTTGATGCCTCCAGCCTCTTCCAAGTCTTCAAGAATTTCCTTTTGAGCGGTATGGGACAAACCCCGGTTGTTGGACCGATTGGCTGCTTTGCCCCGTGGGCTTCGAAGCGATCCCCTGGACCTGGCCGATGTCCTGGATCTGGCCGAACCCGCGCCCAACGATCCGCCCAGCGATTCCGGATCCGACGAAGCGTTTGAACCTTTATCTGAACCTGTAGAGCTACTTGCCTGTCTAGAGGAACGCCCAGAGTCCTGACTGCCGTCTCTGCTCCAGTCCTGACTGCCGCCTCTGCCCTGATCTATGCTTGACGCGTACGCTGGGGTGCTTGCTCGTTTCCTTTCCTGCGTCTTCCTTCCCCTGGTTTGTGGCATGGCCGGAGTTGAAATGGTCACGAAGACCATCCCTTGAGAGCCCACACCAACACCAAACGCACGTCGCTTGCAAGCCAGTCATCAGAAAGATACAAACTATCACAATTTTTGTGGCTGGCCGGTTCTCAGTACATCCGGGTTCCTCTACGGTGGATGGACAGACATTTGAGGCACACGATGTGCTTTGCGGCAATGGTACCCTACCTACCCGAAGCTACTAGCTAGTAGATAACTGCCACAATGGCCACCGTAGCCGGTACAAGTTGCCATTTATGATGAGCGACGGCGACGTTGCATCTGATGCATCATCTGATGACATAGGGGCTCGGCTCGAGAAAATCGAACTCGCAAAGCAGCAGCAGCAAAAGGAGGAAACAAGTGATGATGATGATAACGATGACGAGGAACTGGTGGAACTGGTAGAGCCTCAACCAGAGGGAAAATCGCCAGAAGAGTCACGGGCTGCTGCTGCTGCCAGGGGAGTTGCCAAAGGTAGAGAAAGCTTTGCAAGCGATCTAGCCAAGTTGAAAAAGGATGAGCTGAAAGAAAAGTTCAGAGGGCTCGGTCTAAAAGTGGGCGGGAACAAGACAGAGCTCGTTGAGAGAATCATGGGTCATGCTAATACTGCAAGGGCCGAGCCAAATAGAGAGGAGAGAGTTGACAAAAGCGGAAGCACAGAAATGAAGGAAGAAACGAAGCTCGAAGACAAAGAATCACAACCCAAGTGGGGAACAAGCTCTGCTCGGGATGTTCTCTACAAACTCCTTTTGGATGGTGTGATTCCGGACAGAGACAAGATGGAACCGAAAGATGTATTTGAAAAGCACTGCAAACACAGGCCAGAGTTTAAATACTTTCAAGACTACAAAGGGATGAAGTTTGCTGATAAGCTTAATAAAACCAGGAAAAGAGTGGAGAAAAAGAAGAATCGGTCCACTGAGGATGATGAATTTTATCAGCATGACAGGAACATATTTCCTGAGAGGACCCAGGACACACACGGAGAGCCGGTTTGGGCAGGGTCCAAGGCTCAAGACCTGCTTCTCAAAGACTTGGACCAGGAAACATTGAACGGGTTGAAGCCAAGGCAACTGCATGTCACACGGGACGAATATCTGGAATACTCACTGGATAAGTTCCGAAACAAAATATATCAGGAAAACAAGTGGAAGAAGGACAAGCCTGGGTGGAATTGGGGTCTGAAAATGCAAAGAGCAAGGAGTCTGAAAAAGCCAAGAGCAAGTAGTACAAGCCAAGAGCAAGTACTATTAATAGTACTGTGTTGGTAAGTGGGAGTTTCACGCTTTTCCTTAGTTTCACGCTTTCCTTAGTTTCACGCTTTAGTTTCACGCTTTCGGTTAGTTTCACGCTTTTCCTTAGTTTCACGCTTTTCCTTAGTTTCACGCTTTTGGGTTAGTTTCACGCTTTTGGCGTTAGTTTCACGCTTTTGTGAAAACGGTGAAACTAAGGTTGTTAGTTTCACCGTTTTTGGGTTAGTTTCACCCTTTTGGCTTTCGCCAATGGCAGTTTCACCGTTTTTGGCATTCAGTCGTGTTTGAATTGAAATTTTAAAACCCAGTGCGTAAGCAGCTCAGCCAGCTTATCCGTGCAAAGGATCGAGTTTCAAACGTGCGAATTTTGTTTCATAATCCAATCATAATTAACGATATGGTCCCGTTTCCGGACCTTGCTGTACATGTAGTACGACTGTACTACCGGTGCCGGTTACGCACCCGTGTGGCAGAATCGAATCGAATCATCGACAGCGTGATGCAAGCACAATCGAATGATGGCGTAAACCTGCCCACTCGCCATGGCACTTCTAGATCTTTTGAGACCATCAGTTTGCTACTACCAGTATTCTGTGAGCCGACCTGATAGAAAGTCGTCTCTAGCTAGAAAGATGCGGAACAATCTTTCCCTGTTCTTTGTTGCCCTTGTATTAGCTGCCTGGTCTCAACATCCGGTTTGCGAGAGTTTTTCAACTTTGCCAAGAGGAAGCACTCATCACGAACGACGACGAACCTCACAATTATATCTTCGAGAAGAATCCACCTTGAAGAAGAAGAACGACGATATTGATGACGACCAAAAAACAAAGGAACAAAGCATTCGTCAACTTTTGTTTGGGTCTGCCTTTGTCATTGAAAATGTATTTTCCTATGCATTCGCCCCCGGTGCCGACGGGACGGCGTTTCCCCAAGCCGATTTGGATTTGATTGCCCAACTGACGGACCCACAAGTCATGCTACAACATCCTCCCGCGGGATATCCCCTCTTTTCGCTATTGTGCTTCAACTCCTTCTTATGGCTGCCATTTGTCTGGGGGGGCATTCTGTATCCGACTACTACAGAACAAAACCGTGCCGTACCAGCCCTTCCATTCCTTCTTTTATCCACAGTATTTGGTGGCGTGAGCTTGTATCCGTACTTTGTACTTTTCCGAACGCAAAAACAACAAGATACCATCAATATACTGGATCGAGTGGGGAACGTTCTCTATGGCAAGTTTGACTCTTTACTCCCAAAATGCTTACTCCTGGGAGTCATTGGATTTTGCTTTTACACATTTGCACAGTCCATCTCCTCCGCGGCAAACTACGACAGCAACCTGGTCTCGGGCGAACTCGAGGGCTTTGTGACATTGGTAACGACTTCTCAGTTTGCGAGTACTACTGTTTTGGACTTGTTTCTTTTAAGTCCACTCTTGTTGGATCCCATTCGAGACGATGCCAAACAAAGGGGTTACCTCAACACTAAGGAGAACGCTTCTTGGAACGGTCAAGACTTGAGGCAACTGGCACCGTTTGCGGTGCCAATCATTGGAGCATTGAGCTGGGTTCTGACACGACCACCCTTATTGCAAGACGACAACAACAACGACGACAAGTCATGATGATTGTACTGTTCCAAAATGGCTTTCTTGAATATATCTTTGCAAGATTTTCCAACATGCATGCAGATGGATACCACGGCTTGGAGTTGCCCTGCCTCTGGTCCTGATTCTTTTGCGAAGCCTCCCGGGCGATCGCTGCCCCCGCAAATGCGGACAGTTATCAGTAGCTCTCAGCCTCGTCTTCAGAAGACGAGTTGCTCTCGTCGGCACTGGTCGTGTTCATCGTCATCATAACGGCTACGCTTGGCATTTCGGCGTTCAAATAGTATGTGAGTGTCGGTCCCCCCACCCATTGGCTTGCTCATAGGCTGGATTCGAGGTGCTTTCGTAGCCTTCGTATATAGTCCCAGCCAGGGCACGGGAGTTCTTTTTCTTTTGGTTCTTATCGTAAATCTGGTGGGGCCAATCATTGCCGGGTGTCAAGAACTTTTCGTAGAGACCCTCTTTGTCCACTGGTGACGTGATCAAATGGAACAGAAACTGCCTTGTTCCCGTCCATGGGAAACGGCGAGAAGTCGTTATCACAACCCACCCATCCTCGTGCTTCCATGAGGGAACTCTCGAGCTTGCTGTCAAGTACGGTACAAAAATGGAGGATGCCGCTACACGATCGAGTGGCATCGACAAGTAAGTGTCACTGCGACATTTATGAAGATTCGTTACGATTTGCAGACGAACAAACGTGGATGTCGTTCTTGGCGTGGCATGAACTCGAAATCCTGTAATGCGCGACGTCCACATCGGTCGAACGAGGCCCACAATGGGCCAACTCTTTCTTCTGCAGGCACGAACGATCGATCGATACGGGCAGTACTGTAGTAGACATGGAACAATCTCCTTCCTCGTTTTGGATCGTAGGCCACAAGAGTCTGTATCCGCAGCTACCGTAGCTACAGAGCGACGTATCCCAGGATCACCACAGCCTGCAAGTGACGAGAAAGCATGCGATGATAAACGTCTGCCTATACACGAATGGGTTATCTTGTTTTAAAGTCGTAGAATATATGGACTATGAAGCGGCATTGTACTGTAGCTATAGTTGGGGCGGGGGTGTATGTGGGGGCGTGATTTGCCTTGTTCTCTCTTTCATGTGTCTTCCTTCGATCGTTATCTTGCTTGCCAAGTTAGTTTGAAGGAGGTAGGCTCGTGCTGTCCGTAGCGTTGGAGCGGGTGCGAGTACGGGTCGTCCTCGTGTTTGTTTCGGAGCAAAAATTCGAGTCGTCACCAATGTCCAATGCTTCCTGAATGATAGAGGACAAGAAGCACATCCTCGTCCTTCCTCTGTCTTCGCTAACTCCCGTCATCTCTTCTCTATTGATTCTGAGGTTGTTACCATCTCCTGCTCTGGCAGTGGTCGTGGAACTCATTGCCGGCATTTGTGGGCGTTGATGAGCGAATCTCATCCTCCATGGAGAAGACCCCATGGGTCTTGGTCCGCGACGCAGGTTGGTGTTCTTGGTGGTGGATTTCATGTTGCTCGGAAATTGTAGGAAGATAAAAAGTGAGCCTTTTTGGAAACGTGATTTCACCCATTCAGTTCAGCTAGCTAGCTAAAGGTGCACATCTCTTTTTGCTTCCGCACCACAGAGCGATGACCAATCAGGGCGTGGTACTCACACTGTTTTAGCATGTGAGTATGGGTACTGAGTAGTACTCACAATTCCAAAGTCAAGTGAGTATGGGTACTGGGTAATACTCACAATTCCCAGGGTCAAGTGAGTACGGGTATCATGTGAGTACAGGTACTTTGTGGGTACTATAATACTCACTGAGTACTCAAAATCAATTACTTAGGGAAATTATCTAGGTTTTTCTAGTTCTGGGCTGGGGGCTCATCAATCTTGTTGTTAAGGTCCACCATGGCATCAATACACTGTCATAATCCTCCTCTTCACATCTGCTGGCAGTTAGCTTGAGGAGACCTTGGTCCTATTCTTAGCCCATTCCTTTCTTGCATCATTGATGCATTGCTTTTAGTTCTGGATGAATGCACTGTTCTTGTAGCAAAGAAGGCGCATTTGGAATGTCATGTCAACCTTCTGTCCTGCTGAGTTTTCCATCAAACCATGTACAAGAACTGTAAAACTCTTTCTTGGAAGCCGTTGCTATCTGGCATTGCAAAGATGCGCACAGCAACTTCAAAGATGATTGGTGGTTGGTTTTGCCAGTTGTCTCCCACCAAAATACTCACAAAATACTCACCGAGTACTCACTGTACTCACTTCGAAGTACTCACCGAAGTACTCACCGAAGACTCAAAAAGTACTCAAAATCCGGAGTCATGTGAGTACGGGTACTGAGTAATACTCACATTTTCTGAGGTCATGTGAGTATGGGTACTGAGTATACTCAGTACTCAGTACCCGTACTCACATCGAGTACACGCAGCGTGTATTTCATGTGAGTCCCACACCCTGTGACCAATTGCAAGTTAGCTCAGGACTGCGAAGTCTCGATCTATGCGATCGAAGGCACTTGAATACGGAAGCATAAAGGAGATAGAAGGACAGTACCATACCGGTTACCGGTACAGTACCAGTGGAGTGAGCTGGACATTCGGAAATCGGAGCAAGGTGAAGAACTGAAAGGTACAGTAGATTAGTCAGTCAGCTGGGAAAGAAGACGAGAGATCAGAGGTTGCTATGTCCTCCTGCTTTGTCTCTCGGATGGTGTGTTCTGCAGTGAGCTGTAAAAACTCGACCAACTGCACCTTCAAACCTCAATTTCTGAGACTGTGAGAGATGATTGCTCTCGCTATTTCTGTCCGTGCACAGCTAAGACATTATTGGATGTCACGCATGCAGTCACTGCTGAAATTCAATCTACAGTATACTCGAATGGAGAAGCAGCATCATATCCTAGCTAGTGGACAACTAGTATCCGTTCATCGCTCTTGTTAGTGCTGCTTTCTGGTGAGATTTCCGTGTCTTCCTAGGGATGTGTGTTTGGTTGGATAGCAGCCACCCAGCCACCCACCGCTACCGTACCTGACTGCTTGACTGTTGGAGATCGAGGAGAGCAAGGTGCTACAAGCTCCAAGCTGGCTAGCTAGAATAGGTCACCAGCCAAGCAAGAAACCCCCGTCTCGGCCTCGAGTAGAAATTAAAAGAAGTTCTGGGTCGCTCTTTGCTGTTTCCACTAACTGCAAGCATGCAACCAACCCTACAAGATTTTGTCTGGGAAGTCCATTGTAAAGCCGTTGTGGGCTATTGAAGATATTCTAGTGCTCGGTGTTGAGCTAGATAGAGACTTTGCAAGGTGAGCGATGCTAGATCTAATACTTCCCAGCTGGTTTCTACAGCAAAATTTTGGTTTGGCCCAATGCGTACGGAAGAACCAGGCATTCAGCTTTCTTGGGTCGCCCTTGGCTGCTTGGCGCACTTGAAGGAAGCTCTTTGCTTTGATTAGAAGCAACCATACAAAAAACGTTTTTGTCTTTTCCGTAAACGTAAAGTATCCAGTGTCTACTATAGCCAGCAACCTTGGTGGGGAGGGCGGTTGGTTTCCAATTGGTGCATTACGATACTGTACAGACCACAGCATCAAAGCTATCCCTTTCCTTTTGTTGCCGTGCCCCGAGGCTTGCTCTGTCTCGGCCATAGGCGCCTTCCCCAGCCAAGTCAAGGTCGGCCTCACAGGCTAGCTACATGTAGGAGCAATAGGTCTCGCTGCTTGTTCCTTTCTCTGCCTGCCTTCTGTACAGCCAATATCCACCGTGTCTCAGCTTGCAGCTTGCAGCTTGCAAGAACGCAAAAGTTACGAAGGGCCAGAGTTGGTGCTTCTTTTGGCGGCTCTTAAAAAAACAACGCTGGGGTCACAAACAGTTTGGGGACTAAGAAGTATCTCTCATTGCAAGCTGCAGTCTCCAAGACAACCCCGAGCCATTCTATCCTAGTTAGGCTTGTCACTGACACCCTACACCCGAAGACAGTAGTCAGCAGCATCACCATCGCAACACAGAGTGCAACAAGAGCACTCTACCATGGGATTGCCTGTGCCATCCCTTGGCAAACAGTCAGCTGCCACTTCAAATGTGCCCTTGAGAGGGTCAGCCAAAGCACAGACAGATGATGGAATGGAACCAGACAGGTTATTCCCATTCACAAAAAAGTGACGTAAGTCGGTTAGAGCAGAAAGCTGTGCTGGGATGGTGCCATGGAACTTGTTGTTGCAAATGTCAAAGGTGTATAGCTTTGACAAGAGTTGCAGTCCAGTGCTAATTGTGCCTGTCAAGCCACAGTTGGAGGCCTTCAGAAATTCCACATTGGTACATTTTGTAAAGAGCTCCTCAGGTAGGGAGCCATCCATATGGGTCCGACTGATATCAAGTTCTCTGAGAGAGCCTTTCAGAAGCCCAATTTCCGATGGGATGGTTCCTCGCAAAGGGTTACCTTGCAGGTGGACGGCGAGATTATCACGGCCATGCAATGCTCCAATTTCAGTGGGTAGAGCTCCTGTAAGCTACAAAAAAGGGAAAGGGCGAGCTGTCAATTACAATTCAGGGGCTTGGCTAAAAGTTGAAGATCACTGATTCTGAACCCCAGGAAATGTTGTCATACCTTATTGTCATTCAAATATATGGAGAGATAGTCTCCTTTCCCAGTCCGAAAGAGCTCTGTAGGGATGGAACCGGACAAGCTGTTTGAACCGGTATGGAACCGGACAAGCTGCTTGAACCAAATTGAAGTATAGACCCACCAAAGAGTCCAACTTCTGTGGGCACTGTCCCTGTCAATGAATTGTTTGCTAAAAATATCGAGGAGAGCTTGTTTCCAAACAATTCCAATGGAATACTTCCTCTTAGTTGGCTGTTGACGAGATTGAAGTAAGAAAGTAAGAGGAAGCTGCCATATAGGCATGGAAGCGTGCCTGTCAGATGGTTCCCCTTAAGGTCAATTAATTCCAGTGCAGGAAGGCTTGCAAGTTCTGTGGGCAAAGGGCCATTCAATCCATTGTTCCCTGATAATCAAAGCAAGCTAAGGATAAGTACAGGAAACATGCACTTTGGTCCTTGTTGTCATCAACAAAAACTAGGAAAAACTCACAAAGCCGCAACTCAGTAACGTTTTTCTCTCTCTCACACGAAATTCCTCCCCATTGACATTCATGAACACCAGCAAGCCACCAACTTCCCCATACTTCCGAACAAAAGTATTGAATCCAACATGTTTCATCGTTTGCATTTGTAGATGGCCCACAATCGAGCCAGTCACTCACCACCAATCCACTATTGTTGACTGCGTGAGTCGTGGCTTGGTCATCTGCCGTACTTTAATTCCTTGTGTTTGTGTTTGAAGTAAGCTCTTCAACATGAGCAGAAGAAGTAGCCCCCATCAACGAACGACTGACTGTTGTGGTTCTCTGGAGATCAGTGGTAATCTGACGATGATTCTGTATTGGCTCCTGTACTACCTTCAAAATAAAGGCATCGTCTTCCTTTTCTTCTTCTTTTATTTCCTCTCCTGTGGATTTGCTGCCTGTTGTGCTGGGATCATGCTGCGATGACTGGAATGACCTAATACAGGTATGGATTTCCTCTCTCTTTGGTAGTTCATCTTCTGCCTGTTGCGCCTCCAATTCAAACAGCTTTCTGAGCTCTCCATTTTCCCCTCGGCTGCTGGCAGCCACAATATCCATCAGCTCTTCCTCGTCATCCTTTTTTTGGGCTGCGGTAGGTTCCATTTTTGCCGAACCTCTATTATTGTTGTGGGCGGATCTGGTCTGTTCGATCCCTTCTCTCAATTGTTGTGATGACTGCATCCATTTCGATGATGCCTATTGGAAGTGAAGTTGGAAGCACAAACTGATCGAACCGGCATGTACCAGAGTATTGAGTAAACCCCATTACGGAGGCCCCCCTCCGCTACATTGCCAGTCGCGAAATTACATCGGAAATTACTCGAGCCCTTCTTGCCCCCTTGCCCTTAATTCCCATCCCCCCTAGCCCCCTCCACGACCCTGCCACCCCCTTCATTGAGCCCCCACGTCATCCCTTCAGAATTGAAGACCATCGAACAGCCCTCACTCAGTGCCAAAAAACGTCACCATGATGCATACACAGCGGCTTTCGAGACTCAACAAGTCACTCTCACTCTGGCTGAGCAGTCCCGCCTCAATCGCAGCCGTTGCACTGGCTCTTGGCTTGCGGTCATGCCCGATATTGCCAAAACGCACTCACCTCTCAGCTCAAGAATGGCGTGGTGCTCTTTTTCTCCGGTTCGGTCTTACCCCCCCAGCTCTTCCAGCTCTTTGTGATGGCTGTACTGGTCCCTTCAGCGTTTCACATGCTCTGGTTTGCAAACGCGGTGGCTTAATCATCCGTCGCCACAATGAAATCCGCACTGGACTTGGTTCTATTGCGTGTGAATGCTTTGGTTCCTCTAGCTTCCAGTCAGAACCACCCCTTCCATCTGTTCTCGCCCCTACTATCCCTGCTGGTCACCCAATTTCTACCTTACTTCCCCTTCCTCCCCCCCTCTCAATCTCCCTCTAGCCCCCGAGCTCTTACGTGGTGATCTTTCTATTCGCGGCTTGTTCGAACGTGGTACTACAGCTATTATTGACGTACATGTCACTGATTTGGACTGTGCCTCTTACTGAAACAAAGATCCTGTCAAAGTTTTAACCCAACAAGAACGCGACAAAATTTCCAAATATAAAGAAGCGTGCGAGTCCAATCGCCTTTGTTGTTTCAGTGGATGGCATGCTTGCCCCTCAAGCCAAGACTCTCTTACAACGCCTTGCTTCTGCTACTGCCTCCAAAACTCAATTTTCCTACTCTCAAATGATGTTCTTCATGCAGACCCGTATCTCCATTGCCCTTGTGAAAGCTACTCATTTATGTCTCTGTGGATCTCGCAAAGCCAAACCCTTTTGCCCCCGTAATGGTCCTCAATTTCTTGCCCCTGATCCCACAGAACCTAGTCCTGAGTTTTGACTATTCTTTGCTTAAGCCTGGCCCCTGATGGCTTCCGTAGCTAATTTCCCTACTCTAAAAACCCCGTTAAAAGAGTATTGAGTTGGCTAATCGATGATTCGATTCGATTCGATTCGATTCGAGAACATTCGGAAAGAGACGACCAAGGGGATCATGACAACATGATGACGGTTGCGGCATTTAATTGGTGGGTCTCCCCAAAATGACGACACTTCGTCGACGAGACGAGATTCCTTGATGATCAAACAGCAACACCATCTCATTATTTTATTTTTCCGGAACCCTCTTTTCATCAGCTCTATTTCTACTTTGTGCATGTATTGAGTAAAGAAAGAAAGACTGAGTTGACTGAGTTGAATAAATGAAAATAGCAAGATGACCGATTCTACGGCAAAGGAACAAGCGATCAGCAGCACGAGTGTAATAACCACCGCCACAACAGGAGATTTGCTGTTGGGGAACCGTCATTTGAGTAGTGCTGCTCCTAGTGCTCCTAGTAGTACTAGTAGTGCTCCAAGCAGTCCAGGCAACAAGGGCGTGGTGAACAACAACAATGACATTTCTCGTCTGTTCCAAATGTGCAATGATGACAAGAATGAAGAGTCGTGGCAATTGTTGTTGGAATGGATGGAAGACATGCGTGCCTTTAAAAGCAAACTAAAGCGCTTGGTGACGTATAAGGATCCCAAGAATGCCAAACGCACATTTTTGCATTTGGCAAGTGTCCATCAAGCTCCCATTGCCGTGGTGGAAGCCTTGTTGGAATTGGCCGAACAGAATTACACATCGATTCGAATTGTAGAAGATGCCAATGGCGCCACGCCGTTGCATTTGGCGTGTCAATACGGCGTCAGTGCCAAACACATTCGATTACTGGCCACCAACTTTACACTCACCATGGTCGATCGCATGGGTCGCACACCGCTCCATGTCGCCATGGAACATGCCAGTAACGACAAAGCCGCCGAGACGATTCATTTTTTACTCGAACGCAATCCCACACAACAAAAACGAATTCTCAATCGTCAACACAAATCCGCACTCGCATGTTTGGCCAATGTCCGACTCCAACATTTGCAACGCAATGTCACCAATGCGTTTGATGCTTATGTGGGGACCGTACAAGTCACTACGGAAACCAGTAGTCAATCGTATACCAAACAACTACTCCTCACGAGTACATCCCAATCCAAAACAACCAACACCACTCCCACTACAACCAACACAAACACAACAAACTCTACACTATCCGAACAACAACAACAACAAGCCGATCGAGACTTTTTTCCCATTCTCGGAGAATTGCCCGCGTTTGTGCAAGATCACGCGGCTTGGAATCCCACCGTCCAAACACTCGTCAATCAACGATTCTGTTCGTCCGATGTCACTTTTTTGTATGTTCTCCGATTGGTCTCACTGCTGGTTATTATTGTCAGTTTTCATATTTACTGGAAACACGGCAATGAATATTTTCCACAAAATCAAATTCCATTATTGCAGCAACAATGGTTTGTCGCCTTTGTATTTTTGGCAGCCAGTACCAGTGTCTTGTGTGCGACCGATTTGGGGATTCTTGCCGTGCGCATTTACAAGGCGGCGGCGTTTCGACAATGGCAACAACATCCCCTTGAAATTTCCAATCTCATGGTCATGTTGGCCGTACTCGTATTTGCCATTTTGGCACAAGGATATGAAATACAAGATCCCGAAACCTTTCAAGTATTGTCGATCGTGGCGGCATTTCTACTGGCATTGGCGTGGGCGGGCGTCTTGTCGTGTGTGCGACTCGTCTCCAAGGATTTTTCGACACTGGTCGATGGAGTACTGGCGACGGGACGCAAATTGTTTGCGTTTGCGGCGGCATTGACTATTGTGTTGGTGGCATTTGCGCAATTGTTTTATTTGACCACGCTCGAATTGGTCGTTACGACATCCACAATGACAACGTTTGACAGTGATACCAACAGGACCACAACTACCACCGACACACAACGCGATGTCACGTGTCCCAGTGAATCTCCGTTTTGTACATCCTTTGGACAAGCACTGCTTACAATCTACACCATGGCCGTCGGAGAAGTCGATATGGCAGATGTTCCCGAAAACAACAACAATCACGTGTTCGTCACGATTCTCTACGTGTGTTTCATTTACATTGTCATTTTACTACTCGCCAATATACTGGCGTTTATCATTGGAAATGATATTTGGAGAAATGAACGGACGGAACAATTCTTTTGGGCCAATCGGATACGATTTTTGGCCGATATTGAAGCATTGACACGCGTTTGTTGCTGTTGTCGGACGTGTACGACCGACGACATTCTCGGCAAGAGTTGGCAGGCACTGTGGTCCATTTTTGACGATCATCGACTCGGAGCATTGTCGCCGTCGTTTTGGTTCATGATGATTTTACGCGTCAATGTCATGGTCGTCATGATTGTCTGGATTGTTGTGGGAGTACTAACGTTGGGATATGTCTGGCCACCGCAAGTGCGACAAGCGCTGTTTTGGGCGCCGATCACTACAACAACTACAGCAACAACGACAACAGCAGGTGTGCCCACCGCCGAAATGGGCAAGATTTGGACGCCAGCAACTCATAGCGGCGACTTTGCCGCGGCATCGGATGTGCATGCCGTCCAGAAGAATGTGCAGAGGCTCGAAGCCAAAATGGACCATCTCGAACACAAGTTGGATCGGGTCTTGTCCATGCTCGAGCGAGATGTCTTTCACGATGAAAGCTCCGTTTTCATGGTGCGAGGAGGATCGGACCATGCACCGCATCATCATCATCCGCCGTACCCTCGACGGGGATCCATGGGAGGGTATTCCTTGGCATCGATCGAGGAGCCGGGGGGTTCTCCGTATCCACGACGGGGATCGATTGGTGCATCCATTGGATATTCCATGTCATGATCAGCCACAGGACATGCATGCATTTGACGTTTCTGCGACCGACTCGACAATGCAGCCATTTCCTGTCGCTGTTTGCGTTGGATCTTCTCTTCCCGTGCCATTCACGCATCGCACACAACCCAAGCGAGTCACTTGCCTCGTCCACATTCTGGTACTTGGATGCATTCGCACACTTCTCCGCCGCACTATACGACTTTTTGGGGAGCAACCGAGCGTGGCTCGGTGGATGGTGAAGCAAGCAGGATTAACCATTCTAGGTGGATCACTCACTCACAGCTCGCTCTACAGTATTCAAGACATCATGCTGAGCTGCAGCGTGGATTTTTAAAATTAAGTAAGCGGTCTTTTATTGGGATCTGTCTTAGCCTTACCCAAAGTAGTAGTCACTCAGCACCCTAAACGTGTTTGCTTGTCAAGGAACGATGGCTCTTCCGTTGCCCCTCGCTCTGGTTTGCTGGCCAACTCAGAAGCAAGCCAGGACTATGAAATGCACTTGCGGTATGTATGGTACCTGGTACATGTTGGGGATATACATCCACCTGATTCCGCCACCGTAGTTTGCAATCGGGCTACTGGTACCTGGTACAGTAGTAGAGTCTAGGAGCTGCAAATTAATTGTGTCAACCAATTTAAGGGCATGATGAAAGACTTAGAGACACAAATGAGTTCGAAATCCAGGGATGAGTTCGAAATCCAAGGATGAGTTCCAAACCCTGCAATGAGTTTGAAATACTGCAATGAGTTTGAAATACTGCAATGAGCTCGAAATACTGCAATGAGCTCGAAATCCTGCAATGAGCTCGAAATCCTGCAATGAGTTCGAAATACTGCAATGAGTTGAAACCCTGCAATGAGTTCGAAATCCAGCAATTTTTATTTCAAAAAAGGAAGCTCGGAAGAGCCCAGTACACTGCACGACTTTGAGGAAGCGACCGAGCGTGGTTCGGTAGATTGCAAAGCAAGCAGGAATAGCCAATCTGGGCCGATCACTCACTCCTCTACAGAGCATGTTCTACTCCTGACGTAGTCATTCCGCGGCCAATGAGTTGCAGTATGGATTATATTTATGGGCAGTCTTTTATTGGGAATCGAATCAGTCTCAGCCTTACCCGCGGTAGTCAGTCACTCAGCAGTAGCCTACATACACGAGTTTGTTTGTAATGGACGGCGGCTTACAGTATCGGTTGTCCCTCCTCCTCTGGTTTGCTGACCAACTCAGAATTCAGCAAGCCAGGACTATGATATGCATTTGTCGGTTTGTATCGTTTGTGTTGGGGAAAATCGTCCACCTGACTACCGGTAGTTTGCAAGCGGTAATTGCGAGGAGTTGCATTGCTGTCAACCGGGCTCGTTGTGTTGCAGAATAGATGATCATTTTGCTATCATCACTTCGACAACCCTTCTTTGTAGTACGTCGATCGTGTTCCGGGAAGGCCCCACTATTGCAGAAACCTTTTTTGACGGCGTAGGAGATGACGGTAGCACAGTTAGTTTTGAGAGGCACATTGGAAGCATGATAGCTTACCCGATCCATGCGGCTGCAAACATCTTCACGCACGCATGCTCTTTGAAGCCACTTACCGCCGCTCTTGGCCGTATACTTGCAAGGCTGCCTGGTAAAATTCCAAGGATACTCGATCGGCCCAACTATCGAGCATCCATCCTCCATTGAACGGATCCGGCACAATGGCGGGCAACAGACTGGGCAGTATATAGTTGGTAGCCCCTGCCGACGTGTCCAAAAAGGGACAATGAGTGCCCGTCATGGTAACGGCCAACATTCCGTGTTTGGAATCGGCCGCCATTTGTGCATACGTGCGTCCTCCGTGTTGTGGATACGGTGACGGTTCGTAGAGATTGTGTATATTGCAACAGGGATCGTCAATGCTGTTGACGACCAGTTTGGGTGTGGTGATGAAATGGACATTGTTGACGGGATTCTCTCCATGATAGTAGGCCGTGGCATTGGGATACCCCGCAAACGGTGCTGCCGCATTGAGAAACTCTTGCAAGTTGGTGGCCGAAAGTGCCTCGTTGACGGCATGATTGTTGAATTGTCGTAGTACGTCTTCATTTTGTCGTACAAAATGATCCTTGACCGATTCGGTCAAGATTGGATTGTAGGGGAATTTGAACCGTTCCGGCAAGAATACCTTGCTGATATCATATCCCGGTACAATGGACGCCGATGCCACAAACGACGGTGCGCTATGGCCTTGCAGTCGTCGTCGATCAAATTCTGCCAACGCCGACACCACCAGGGCCGTTCCGGAACTAACCCCATGCAGAAACATGGGGGTATGCGGTGCCGCATAATGCCGCGTAATATGCCAATAGACCTGTTCCAATTCATCGACATCGCCAAACAAATTCCAACGGGGTGCCCGCAATGGTTGATGGGGAGTATGACCGCGTCGTTGGACCACAATGGATCGAAAGCCGGCTCCAAACGCTCGTCGGACCAACATGGTTCCGGGCATGTCCTGACTCTCACAGCGCAATCCCGGTGACAGGAAAATGATGGGGGATCCATTGTCAAATCCTGGATAACTGTCATTGCTACTGTCGGAAGTAGTATCAGTAGTAGTATCAAATGGTGGAAAGACATCGAGTGTAATGGTCTCATTGAGGAATGCCGGTCGGTGGTCACACTTGCTACTACTAACCGTGGCGGTTGTTGATTTGTCGAGACACGCCGTGACTTGTAGTGGAATGCGTTGATAGGGAATTCCCTCTTGCCGATGAATCTCATTCTGAATAAGCCACGGAAGGAATTGCAAATGTCGATTGGCAAACAAAAGGGGCGGTTTGGGACCGCGGAGGAGACTGGGCATGAGATCCATGACTTGTTGGACTTGTGGGTCCGTGCCGTGAATCAAGTCAAAGAGTCCCGAAAAATGACTCCCCGTGTTGCGGTAGAGCTGGACGTTCCATCGTTTGCCACGCAAGTGGACCATGGTACTCAACGGAGACAGCAAGTAGGAGAGCGCCAAGAGAAAGAGGATGGATTTCATGGGGAGACTCATTTCTTCATTATTTTCAGTATTGGAAGTACATGTCGTAGTAGTAGTTGTAGTACATGAAGTAGGTCTCCTTCTCATCTTGCTCAGGGGCAGAGTCAACACATACGTAATCCAACCACCAATCTTGTACACCAGAAACCCCACAACGGAGAACAAAGGGATCATCCCCACGCAGTCATCAAACGTCAACACACCATGACCCATGCTGCTATCTACCATTCAGATTCGCTAGCTAGAGAGAGTTGATGACAGATTACTGTGGCTGGTGGCGAATGCACTACAATTGAATAGAAGAACGGAATCGAGTCTGATGTTGGTACGTTCAGGCGAGAGCTGAGCAGAATATTGGGGTGGTTGGTCCATCATCAATCGAGGAACTGGGAGCATGCAATGCATCCAGCAGCTGTTGCGTGAATGATACCGGCCGGTACACATAATAATAATAATGCATTTACGTTGAGCGAAAATTAATGTCACTGGTCTTTGGCTGTTCCGCTTGTTGGACACTTGATGACCTGTCCTTAAGTCATAATTTGCTGCCATGTCCAGCAACAGAAACGAAATCTTATGTACCGGTACAGCTACCCTGAGGAGAACTCAACTACTCTTTAGTGTTGGCACATTTATTTGGCACAGGATTCCTGCCCTCTACCAGGTACTCGAGTAGCTAGCACTAGCTACACTCCAGAGCCATCGCACCGGCTATTAGTAACTCCATTGCGACCTTTAGAGATAGCTAACCAGGGCGCTTTTCACTTCCCACGGGAGCGATGGTCCCAGTTTCTCCCTCGCTCGCGAAAAGCACCACCAGAGCCCCGAAGCTGCCATTGATTTAAAAGCGGCATTTCTGTGGAAATTCAAAGGCACCAGTGGCCTAATTTGGCCGCGGAGCGAGATGGAATATTGATCCCGGTTTTACGGATTCACCAGCATTCTTTTCAATGTTCCGATACCCTAGCTAGCTAGCCAGCCAGCCAGCAACACTTCTTTCCACACACCATCCAGTCTTCCCAAGAAGGGGCAGGCACTGTGCCACAGTGGAGCACATACTGCAATCTGGCAAGAAGCGCTACTAGATACATCTGGCCGTCATTGGGCCGGGAGCTGTAGTACTACCGTGCGGATACCTCAGTGGCTGGAATTGCTTGGCAAGAAGGTAAAAATTTAGCTAGAACAGCTCCGGTGTGACTAATATGAGAAAAGAATCCCACGTCTCCTCAGATTTCATGTTATGAGGACGAGTGTTCTTCCAAAGCCCTCCTTGAAGGAGAAATTTAAAACGATAGGGTCGTTGCTGGAGACAGCATCTAGCTAGTACTAGCGAAACTATGATAGCTAGTCTCCGTGGCAAGAACGTCCACAACCAGCCACAGTGTAGATTAGTACAGTCAAATGACAAACCAGCAACCTCCTCCTCCTCAAATGGGAATCCATCAGGTCCAACGCAGGTGCCATTTTAAAAAGGAAGCAGAAATTCAAAGGAGGAACAAACCCAGACAGCCAAGGATGCCCCTCCAAACATATGGCGTGGACAGACTGCTGTGGAAAAGATAATTCTTCAGGCACTATGCCAGGCAGTGAGTTGTTGGCAAGAGTCATCGGCGGTCCCAAAGATTCGAGCTCTCCAAATTCCCATGGAATCTGCCCAGAGAATTGGCCTTCCAATGCCTTCAGCTGCCCAGCCAATCTGAGGACTTGAAATGGTTCCTTCCAGTTGCTCCGCCCTTTATTAAGGACAATGAGGTCAACAAATAAAGCTCTACTGGTAGGGTGCCCACAAGCCCATTTTTGTCCAACCAAAGATGTTCATAGAGGCCATCATTGCCACAGGGTGTTGTGCCTAGCATACTAGGTTCCAATGTTGCCAGCCCAAATCGCTGCCTTTTCCTATCCTCTGTGTAGTAAGGCCCGTATTCTGGGTCCTCATGTGGCCATTGGGAAGCTCTGGATTGAGGTGAATCTGGGTCTTTCAAGGCTCCAAGGCTTTCTTCTTCTCCGTCAAACAAGGAAGGGATATATCCCTCGGCAGAGGTGGGGGCTGCTGTCACTTGACTAGGTGGAAATGGTGAAGTTGTAGCAACTGTATTGGATTCTGTTCTTTTGACAAGAGCAGCAAGCAGAATGGCTACAGCAGACTTGACTGTGGGAAATACCCGGCCCTTAGCTCGTGGGTCGTCCTCAAGCACATCTGGTCTGAATCTGTTATTAGACGTTCAGTTTTTTTTTGTTTTTGTTCTTTTGACAAGAGCAGCAAGCAGAATGGCTACAGCAGGAACAAGGAGAATGCGCCCCATGAGACACAACTGCCAGATTTGTTTGTGGTCTTTTCTTCCGATTGGGTTTGTGGTACCGGTACCGGTGCCGTACCGTATGATGACGTAGTAGTGGTACCTTCCAGTATAAGTGCACCTTTCTGAAAAGATTTAAAAGGATTTCTAATGATGGTCATGAAAAGCTGCGAGCGCGTGTGCCAAAAGATTACAGCACCTCGAAATCTTCAACTCTTCAACTTCCCGAACACACACCCAATATCCAACCCGCCAACCTTCCATAACATCATGCGATAGAGAATAGAGCCATCAGGAAGTAGGGAGAGAGGGTCCACATCAAGCGAAAGGGAGAGAGAGCCTCCAGACAATGGCGGAATCCCAGAGTGCTCCTTCAACAGTCGGCAACAGCCACATTGCCGTTGGTGACAACCCCACGGAAGGCAAGAAATGGAGCAAGGATATTAGTTCGCACACACACGCTCGGCCAACACCTCTTATGGATCATTTCGTCGACACAGATCCTTCGGATTTTGCCCGCAACGAGACGGACAACGTGTCGGTCCTCTCGACGCTGACCGAAGCCGCGGAGGCTTCAAATCCATCCTCGTCCAGTCGCTCAGGATCCATTATAGACCAAAGCGGGCGGTCTTCGGCCCGCTTTATCAAACCCCATGCCGGCAGCGACCGGCAATCTCTGACGCGAGCCGAAAGCTTGCTGACCATCAATACATTACGGTTTGACGAAAAGGCATTGTACGGACGTGAATCGGAAATCCAAGTCTTGACAGATGCCTTTGACAATGCCAAGGGAGCTACTGTGGCACGTCAATGGATCCTCCTCATGGGAAGTGCAGGCGTGGGGAAAAGTGCTCTGGCGTTCCATGCCTTGAAACCCATTGCTACGAGAGAAGCGGCATTGTTCTTTTCGGGAAAGTTTGATCAGGCATCATCCAACGAAGAACCCTACGCTGCCTTTACCATGATTTGTCGCCAACTTTGTGACGCCTTGTTGGCGCACAAGGAGGACGAGTGGGCAGCCGGCAACAAGTGGACGTTTACGTTTGAAGAGGTCCAATCGCGCCTCAAGCAAGAACTGGAAGAGGAAGTTCTGCAGGTACTCACTACAGTGTTTCCGGATCTATTGCAGCTTGTGGGAACTGATGAATCTTCGTATTTGACCAGTTCCAACATGGGTTATTTGGAGGCAAAGCATCGATTCAATTACGCCTTTCGACGACTGATACGAGTCTTGACACACTTTGGAAGAGTTGTCTTGGTCATTGACGATATTCAATGGGCAGACGCTGCGTCCTTGCATTTGATCCAGTCCCTCCTCACCGATCATCCCAATTGTGTTGGCGAAGAGCAAGGGTTGCTGGTAGTGGCAACTGTCAGATCCGACGAAGTGAATGAGACGCATCCGCTCACTGTGACACTCCGGGAACTGGAGAGCATGGTGCAACAGCAACAACCTACGGAAAAAAAGGATGAGCAATCGTTCAAAATTCATCGACTCGAGATTGGCAACTTGGAGTTGGACCAAGTTAACCAAATGTTGATGGATTTGCTCAGTAAGAATTCACCTTCCGAGACGATGTCCTTGGCGGAGTGTGTCCATCGCAAGACTCAAGGAAACGTCTTTTATGTCAAGCAGTTCTTGAAATCGTTGGCAAGCGACCATTCTGGCACGCCTCTGTTGGTCTTTCAAATGGGAAAGCTGTCATGGCAATGGGACGTGGACGAGATACAGGTGCGAGAATCGGCGACCAAAAACGTGGTCCAAGTGATCCAGTCAAAGTTGCAACACTTGCCCGAGGGCATTCGATTGTTGCTTCCCGTCATTGCATTACTAGGAGCTTCCTTTGAGTACTCTGTCTTGGAACGAGTCTTGGACGAATTCAATGGTATACTGTTCGAAAAGAGGCAGGACAAAGATGAAGAGCAGGAGAAAGCATATGCTCCCGACGATTTTATCAAGACCTGCGTCCACGAGGGGTTGCTAGTTCACAATAAACGACAAAGCTTGCTCAAATGGGAACATGACAAGGTGCAAGAGGCTGCGCTAACCTTGACACCAGACGAGGAATTGACGCAGCTTCGGTACAAGCTAGGAGACTTTCTCATAACCGAGTTTGACCAGAAGGAGCTTGAGGCGCACATTTTCGTGCTAGTCAATTTGCTGGACGAAGATACCTCTCGAATTCCAAAAAACAATCCACAGCGCCTTCGACTGGCCGACATGAACTTGACCGCAGGGAACAAGGCAATGCAAGGAGCCGCCTTTCAGAGCGCAGCGACGTATTTGACCCGAGGTATTCAGCTCTTGCCAGAAGGGCACTGGGAGTCAAACTACCAATTGAGTCTCGATTTATTCTCGTCTTCCGCGGAAGCACATCACTGTTCTGGAAACAGACTGGAAACCAAGAAGTGCTGTAACGCTGTGATTGCACAAGATCGGCCCATCCTCGAGAAGGAAAGAGCTTACACAGTGTTGCTAGATGCCATCAACGACGAAGGCAACACTTTGCTTGCTCAAGAAAAGTGCGTGGAGGTGCTAGCGCTGCTGGGTTGCAAATTTCCAAAGTATGCCCGCACCATGTACACCATTGGGGGGATCTTCAAGACTGAAGTGTCTGTCCGGGCTTTGGTGAAGAAGATTCCTACATTGCCTGTCATGACGGATCCTGCCAAGCAATGGGCGATGCGTCTCCTAGACCGGTGTGCAACCTACGCGTTCCAGAACAAATCGGATCTCCTCACTTTGATCATATTGCGACAGCTCAAGTACACGCTGAAGTATGGCTACGCCGACTATTCACCACCGGCACTTTGTACAGTTGGATTGTTGTTGGCAGCTGCGCTGAACGACCTGGAGGGGTCGAAACAATTTGGCGAGCTAGGATTGAATCTTTATGACAAGAACAAAGACGTAGGTTCGACCAAAGAGATCTCTCCAGTTGGCAAGTCCCGAACACTCTTTTGTGCTGCGGCATTTTGCCTCCACTGGCAAGAACCGACAACTCACTTGAGGAAAATGCTCGTGGACGGATACAATGTGGGGCTGCGAAGCGGTGACGTGGAGAGCGCCATGTGGAGCATTTTCTCATATCTAGATTTTGGATTCTACAATGGTCTTCCTCTCGCCATGATCGAGAAAGACTGCGCAGTGTATACGCAGCAAATGAACGAGCTAGGACAGTCCAAACATGCGATTTACCTGCGTTGCCTCTGGCAGGTAAGTCCAGGAAGTAGCTTAGCTAAACACGCCCATCAGATATCAGAAAGCCCGGCATGCCGCTTACATAGTGCGTTTTCCTGCATCTCCCAGCTCGTGTTGAATCTGCTTGGTAAGGAGGACAACAACATGGCGGAATTGAATGGGTCGGTGCTCAACCTTAAAGAGGAATTGGCCAAAGCGGACAAGGCAATGGGGGTAAGGGCCCAGGTGAATCGCCAACGCCTGGTCAATGCCTTCTGGAGCGGTGACTTCGTCAAGACATGCAAGCTGATTGAAGAAACCGGTGCTCACAAGGGATCGTTTTACGAGGCGTTTGCAGGCTCCTATGTGATGCCTCAGCTGCACTTCAATCTCGGACTGGCGTTCTTCGCAGCCTTCAAGCAAACGAAAAAGTTGAAGTACAAACGAATGGCAAATGCACACGCTAAGAAGATATACGATTGGGCGAAGAACGGAAACCCTAACGTGGTCCATTCTGCTTTGCTTTTGCAGGCAGAAAGCAAGTCGCTTCAAAAGGCGAAGTTTCCAGAAACCATCAAGCTGTATAAGGAGGCTATTCTTCTGGCAGGCCGTCAGGGGTTTCTTCACGACCAAGCATTGGCCAACGAGCGCATCGGAGAGTTTTACGTGAGTCATGGTCTGGATACAGATGCGCAATTCTACTTTTGGGAAGCTATCCGGTGCTTTGGAGAATGGGGCTCCTCCCAAAGGGGCGACGTTATTTTGAATCGACACACCAATTTGCTGTCAAAAGCGCCGCCGTCGTCCTTTGCTTTTCAGGTGGACGGCACACGTTCAATCAGTCACTCCAGTGGAAAGATTTCATGAGAGTCGTCGCGGAGCGATCGATCCGCGAGATTGCTCCGGTGCCCGGGTCAGAGGCGACGATCCTTCGGTTTCCTTTTCCACGGGCGACTGAGGGATTCTCCAATGCAGTGCTTCTTTCGAGACCAAAGCTTTTAATTCAAGTTGAAAGCAGGACTCGCCTCGGATCCTTTCAGGATCCTTTCAAGAGCTCCGGTAGAATACCGGTACCTACTAGAGATCTACTCACGCGAAACCCTAGAACCCTGGGAACCATGGGGCGGGGAATCCAATAGCTGAAAGAGCACTAGCTAGTAGCTTGATGCACCCTGTCGCAGGGAGGAGTCAAGTCAGTCTGAATTGCCAAAAGTCGTTACTCTAATAAGGAGATAGAGAACTCCTTTTCAAGGTCTGCTTCGAGATTCACGTATGTGGTACGGGCGTTCTGCATGGAGCTAAAGAGGTCTTGCGCCGTTTGTTTGGCTTGCAAGTGCACAGCCTCGGTAATATCCACTGGTTCCTCGTCGTCGTATTCGAGGAATGCGTCCAGCCAATAGGAGCCTCCGTAGGTTGTGAACAACTCCTCTCCCTTTTTCACCTTGCAATTTGTTACCGTAACCATGAGTGGAGCCGGCCCAAAGGGAATATGCACACAGTTTTTCCGTTTCGTCGTTTCTCGGTAGTAATCCAGCAGTCCTTGTTCGGTGTTGGATTCGACAATGGCACCATCATTGATCAAATGGCTTATCCATGGTTCTTGCACAATTTTGTTGGGGTTAACGTCAATGTAAAGAGTCGCATCGTGGTCGGCTGGTCGAAATCCACACAAGGGACGCGACCCAATCAGATAATGAAGGTAGTTGTGGTTCCTAGCGACATTTTCCGCATCATCATCCACCTCCTCATCACCAAGACCCCCCTCCTCACCATCATCATCATCTCCTTTGTTTTCGTCATCGTCCAAGGGATGAAAGTAGGCGTGGTCCTCCTCGGTGGCAGCAACAATAGCATTTGTATCAAACCGCTCCAATCCCATACCATGGACTGGGTACAAGCTAATGATAGTTCCTGCCTTGATGTTCTTAGTAGCAAACACACCACTGCCGGCACCTGGAATCGACGAGGGGCCCACACGCACGGGCTGTTTTCGAAGCAGGCTGGTGCCTTGCTGCAGGATATAGATCCGTTTCATGGCCTCTTTGAGGCAGTCGATGGGTGCTGGAAAATTCTCGTCATGTTCGTTGCTGTTGCTGCTGCTAAAGATCACTACTTGGGATATCCTGTCTGCATCACGTGCATTCCAAGGGACATTTCTGAATCTTTTTGTTGGCAGTGGCTGGAAGCTTCTGAAGGATGAAACGGGGGCAATGCAAAAAAATGTAATGCACCCAGCAAATAATACGGCGAGCAGATAATAATATGATGAACCCATGGTTGATGCACCTCACGAAACCTCACAGGCTGAGTTCTTTATCTTGACACCTGCACTTCTGTTGTCGGCTCGGCCTTATTTCGGATAGTCCAGCTATTAGTACAGTATTGGCACGGATAGACATACTTTGCTTTGATTTTGGACTCTCGAGCAGATCTGTTTTTATGAGGCTTGGGTAAATTTGTGTGACTGTCGGACAGACGACGGGCTTGCAGCTGGGCAGCTGGGATTTACCAGATCTGTACCGTACTACGAGTATGACGTCACATTATACCACATGCACCGGTGGTAGACAATGTTTTAACAGGAACACATGTACAGGACCTCTCTGTCCTTGTTCAGGGGCGATTGATCCGACGAAGGGATTATCGAATGCAGCGCTCTTTTGAGATCACGGCCTTATTCAAATTGAAAGCAGGATCCTTTCAAGAGCTCAGGTAGGCTACCGGTACCTACTAGAGATCTACTCACGCGAAACCCTACTAACCCTGGGAACCCTGGGGCGAAATAGCTAAAAGAGCACTAGCTAGTAGCTTGACGTACCCTGTCGCAGGGAGGAGTCAAGTCAGTCTGAATTGCCAAAGTCTTTACTCTAATAAGGAGATAGAGAACTCCTTTTCAAGGTCTGCTTCGAGATTCACGTATGTGGTACGGGCGTTCTGCATGGAGCTAAAGAGGTCTTGCGCCGTTTGTTTGGCTTGCAAGTGCACAGCCTCGGTAATATCCACTGGTTCCTCGTCGTCGTATTCGAGGAATGCGTCCAGCCAATAGGAGCCTCCGTAGGTTGTGAACAACTCCTCTCCCTTTTTCACCTTGCAATTTGTTACCGTAACCATGAGTGGAGCCGGCCCAAAGGGAATAGTAACACAGTTTTTAAGTTTCGTCGTTTCTCGGTAGTAATCCAGCAGTCCTTGTTCGGTGTTGGATTCGACAATGGCACCATCGTTGATCAAATGGCTTATCCATGGTTCTTGAACACTTTTGTTGGGGTTAACGTCAATGTAAAGAGTCGCATCGTGGTCGGCTGCTCGAAATCCACACAAAGGACGCGACCCAATCAGATAATGAAGGTAGTTGTGGTTACTACTAGCAACATTTTCCGCATCAGCATCCACGTCCTCATCACCACAATCATTTTCGTCGTCTAGGGGATGAAAGTAGGCGTGGTCCTCCTCGGTGGCAGCAACAATAGCATTTGTATCATCAAACTGCTCCAATCCTATCCCATGGACTGGGAACAAGCTGACGATAGTTCCTGCCTTGATGTTTTTTGTAGCAAACACTCCGCTGCCGGCACCTGGTATCGATGAGGGGCCCACACGCAGGGGCTGTTTTCGAAGCAGGCTCGTGCCTTGCTGCAGGATATATATCCGTTTCATGGCCTCTTTGAGGCAGTCGATAGGCGCTGGCAAAATCTCGTCATGTTCGTTGCTGTTGCTGCTGCTAAAGATTACTACTTGGGATATCCCGTCTGCATCACGTACATTCCAAGGGACGTTTCTGTATCTTTTTGTTGGCAGTGGCTGGAAGCTGCCGAAGGATGAAACGGGGGCAATGCAAAGAAATATACACAGAATGCACCAAGCAAATGATGCACCCATGGTTGCTTTCCTTGTTTCAATTTCCTCGATCTTTGTGAGCGTCGTCTGTCGCCTGATTTTTGGTTGATTGATGCGCCTCAGCGAAACCTCACAGGTTAAGTTATTTAGACTATGTTGACAACTGCACTTCTGTTGTCGGCCTTATTCGGATTGTAGACGCCGTGCTTTGATTTTGGACTTCATCAACCCAGATCTCCTTTTTACGCATAATCTGTTGCTTGGTTGTGTTTGTGTGATTGTCGGACAGACGACGGGCTTGCAGGAGGTATGACGTCACAGGAGTAGACATTCAAAGTCAATTCAGGTTTTGAGTGTCTCAGTGCGCGAAGACATCTTTCGAGTTCAGGTAGTTGCGGTAAACCATAATTTTTTACAAACATGCAGTGTAAATGTTAACTTTAACCCTATAGTTACCGTAAGTACCCTTCTAAACCTGTCTTCCTGTACTGTACGGTGCGGTGCGGTTTGGTACATTTGTACGGTACGGTACCGTACTAGTATGTTTCCAGGTACTAGTACTAGTATGGTACCGTACCGTAGCGACAGCGCTTCCGCATGCTGAACAACCCCAGCTGAAAAAAGTGCGGTGCAGTAAGCTTTCAGGGAGTTGACTCGGCTGCAAGGACTTGCCAAGGACGCAAGGACTGCGCAACACTGCTGCCCAAAGCACTCCTTTGCCTTATTGCGACCGTGCATTGAGTTCGATCGTGTCAATAACTCGGAGTGGTGGTCAGCAACAGCTACATAAACAAATCAAAGTAGCTGAAGACGACAACAATACGGTAGGGCTCCTCGCCATGTTTTCTTCAGCCAGCAAAAAGAATTTTGGCACTCGGACTCCGCTTGTCCTCCGCTGCGCTGCTTTTCTTGGATACGCCGAGATCTCGCGACGAGGGGTGCGATTGCTGTTTTGGGACTCTCTCATTGGGGGTGATGATGTTGGTCGAAAGGTCGACGACGCTTGCTGGGCCATTCTGCTGTTTGCAGGCGTCTACTTGGTGGAAACACTGAATGCTCTCTTTCTTGGTTGGATTTCCTTGCAGGGAGCGCACATGTTCCACATGTACGAACACCACTTGACAGGTCTTGGACTCGGTTTGGCACTTTCCGCCTATGTTCACACCAATGATGATGCCACGGTTCAATCCTTTGTGGATCTGGTGCAGCTTCCTCTGAGCGTTGGGTTGCTGGCGCATTTGTGCGAAACGTGGGCCGTCGCAAGAACTTTTTTGCCCGTTCCAGACGAGAGAAAATGGAAGGCTGTCCAACGTTTGCTGGGTGTGGTCCTCATGGCGGCGTTGTCCATTTGCATTTTGACTTGTTTCCACAAGTATCTTCAGCAACCTTCCCATCAACAGGGAACCTCATTGATTGAGATGACTGTGGTCGTATTGTCCCTGTGTCTTGCCTGTTATGTGCACCCTTCCTATGTGTATAGTCACACCAGGGCATTGTGGAAGATCCTACATGAGCCAAAATGCAGCAAGCCTTGAACATCCAGGCTAGCGATACGAGGAAGCTATAGACACAACTCGGATCTTGCTCTGCTTGGAGACCCACTGTCGGGCTGAAGCATCAGAATGAATCAGCAACATTGACTCTCCAACAACCCAGTCTCCTTGGCAGAATTCGATGTGCAACGAAAGTATTCTTCTTGTAAAGAAAAAGAGCCGATTGCTCGTATATGTAGTACCTTCGCAACGATAAGTCTCTATAAAAGATTGTTCAATGTACCGGTAGACCCGAGCACGGCGCTTGTATTGCACATTGTCCGAACTATCTCTGTATAGGGGTCCTGTAACTCAAGAACGAAAGAATGGCTTTCAAGGTCCAGGATGGAAACTCAAAGAGGCCTGTCCGTCTTGCCCAGAGAAGGTCTGAGGACTTACCTTACGATATGAAGTTCCTAGCTAGTAGTTTACTATAGTTTTGAATGTACCGTATCTATCCAATGACTGGGTTTGCAGAGGCAGCAGAGCATCTTGTTGCCAGCACCTGAAGTCATGTGGCTGCTGCTACCAGGACCATGAGCTGATTCGACGGATCTTGACCAAGTGAAGCACCAATATAGGGTTGCATCAACTTATGGCAGCATCGAGAAGTGACTTGCATCAAGGCCAAAGGTTGCTTGCTTCCCATTCTTAGGCTTTGCTCGTCCAAGGCAGCGGGGCACTCTTTCGAAGGAGGAAAAAGGGGGGAAATGGATTTCGTATACGCATACATCAGCAAAACAGCTTGCCACTTCCCCAAGGCACAACTGGGCTTTTCATCTGGTGCCGCTCCTTCGGCGTTGCGGGCGTCTGGGTGGAGACTTTTGGTCTCTATTTGGAGTTTCTTGCGTCAAAGGTTGTCTTGCGGAGTCTGCTGAGCTGCCACTTTCAACCGAGGAGAAAGATCCTGAAGACATCTGGTCTGTTGATGGCTCCGCCTGCCATCGATCAGTTCTGTCACAAGCATGGAGCAGTCCCTGCGGAGATGCATTGTCTTGCACAATTGATACCACCACAACTGCACGAGCACCACAACCTGCAAGAAACTGGTTGGCAAAGATATCTAGCGGTGAGTTGTTCATGGTCTGTTCTCGGATTGGGATGGTCTGTTCATCGGCAGAGTGCATGGGTGTGGGATGGTCTGTTCCTCGACAGTGGGATTACACGTGTATGGTCTGTTCTTCGCCAGGCTGGGGGGTGCCTCAAATCAATCTTCTCTGTTTGAATATATCCCCAACCACCTGAATACAGTCATGCAAGCAATGGCTAAAAATAGGCACAACGGACACAATGAAGCGGCAGATAGTGGTTAAGAGTGGGTAAGCGTGGTAAAGAGCGGTGGATGGTGGTCGAAGGCGGTAAAAAAGCGGTAACAATGCGGTAAAACAGGCGGTTGAAGGCGGTTGAAGGCGGTTGCAGGCGGTGGAAGATGGTTAAAAATGGTTAAGACATAAAATACTTAATTAAAGGAATTGTCCAATAAAACAGGAAGGTGGGAGAAGATATCAAAAGAAACAATGAGTTGGTTTGAGGCACTCCCCTGGGATTGGGGCTTGCGACGTGGCTCTGTCTTCCGCCAACGCCAAGCCCGCAAGTCGGAAATTATTAAATTTTGTCGCCCGAAAGAAGGAAGAACGATGAAGTCACTCACTGGGTATTTGGACAAGTTGGGACATCTATGCAAAGTGCAAAGGCTTTACGTCATGAATCTAAAATGTCTATCGTACATAATCTTTACTGACCTATCAGTACTAGTACAAGTAATGGGTCTTTCAATTTGGAATAATTGAAAATAAATTGAAACAGAGCCTGTAGATGATGTCGAGGATGCGATTTTCAGCTCGACTTTTGGTTCGATTCATACGTTTGTCGTCTCTAGCTAGCTACTGGTAGCTAGACTAGCTAGAGCCTACCAGTATCTTGCAGCAGCTGCACTGGGTGGAGCGGTAGAAATGGCTTCAGAAACAGACCTTGCAATAGGTAGTAGATCTGGGATCTAGGATTCATTTAATGGGACAATGAGACCACCTTGCCGTAGATGGCGTTTGGTCTGAGAAAACCGCCCATTCTCGCTCCATGTCAAATTGACAAACACTGATGATGATGGTTCGAACGTTCGAACTGCCAAGAATATGAGATGCTCTACATTTGCCCAGTGGCTTTTGACACAGTACAAGTATGATAGCTAATAGCTAGCTCTTCTGGTGACTTCCCAACCGAAACTCTGAAACTCTTCCTTACAAAAATCAATATAGCATCTAAATATTTGTCTTCTCCAGCCAGTCTAACTTTCGCTCGATGCCTTGCTTTCCCATGTGACCCGCTAAGTCTTGCTGTTGATTGAGTTGCTTGCTGGTACAGCTCCTCTTGTTAGCTTCTTCAGCACTAGCTAGCAGGAGTAGCAGCAGCGACAACGGCATCTTCGCTCCAGCAGGTCGAAGGATCTGAGGATCTGAGAAACAGGCTCTGGCGGTTCGATCTGGTCTTGGGTTCTTTGTCTCATTCAGTACTGTCATGGAAGTCCAAAGCTATAAATAACACATATGCATTAACACCATTATATTCACTAAGATGGGGGTTTTCTGATACCCGAGTACCCGTGACAGGGTCACTCCAAGGCACTGTGCTCTAGGGCATTCAAATCCTGATGGGAACAGACCTTCCTCTTTACAGGAGTTGCTCTGCCTGTTCAACACCTTGGCAAAGCATGGATGTTCCCAACATTCAAATCTTGTCCATTTGTAGATACACATGGTCTCTGGTCATGACACCAGAGACCCCAGGGTGGGTGGGTGGGCTCGAAATTTCTCTGCAAATACAAAGATGGTCAAGAGAGTGATCAACCTCACTTGTTCAACTTGGTTGCTGCAGGTTAGTCTTGATAGTAGCTTTTGGATCTCTGCGTGGCGTTCCCTGAGGGTAGAGGAAATGAATTGTCATGAACGGTCACTAATTTTCAGAATGGCTCGGGAGTGTGCGGTCTCGGTGGGGGAAGTGAGCGCCACACGATGGGTTTAAGGGAAGCCCCAGTCAATGCAGACAAGCCCAACAGCCAAACGCGTGGAGACAGCACCCATAGATTCTCAGACAACCAACAGGTTGCATATACCTGTCCACTGGAATCTTGGTGCGTGTTGGCACCATGCTCCGCCTGGACTGGGTATGAACATAGACCAACTGTGCTCCTGGCTCAACTCTTCCGTGACCCTATCTGCTTGGGATCTGATGATGAGGGCGAAGTATTGATCTGCGTCTTGGGTCCCTCGCCTTATAGTGCGTTCATCGATACTTTGTTGTGGAAAAACTGTTTCTTCACTGCCACGGTCATGTATCAGTTTCTAGGGTTGTCCTATAGAAGCTGGCA